TGCTCAGTGGCAGGCTATGTTGGGCCCCACTGGCAATATGATACCCTTTCTAGAAAAAAGTAGAACCTCCTGGCACCCTCCATGTTAAACTGCAAATTTAATGATGAGGTTGAATGAGATAATGCATGCAAAGTGCAAGGCCAGGCACTAGGCTCATAATTGCTAGTGATGAGCCACCAGTATGACAATCTGCTCCCTTGGTCAGCTAGAGTCTCCTGAACCATGAGCATGCTTTATGAGGACTTACTGCTGTGGAAAGTGGTTATTATGCCCTCTCTCTGTCTCTGGAAAGCATTGCTGTTGCTACTGCTGCTAAGTCACTTCAGTCGTGTCCAAGTCTATGTGATCCCATAGACGGCAGCCCACCAGGCTCCCCCATCCCTGGGATTCTCCAGGCAAAAACACTGGAGTGGGTTGCCATCTCCTTCTCCAATGTGTGAAAGTGAAAGTGAAGTTGCTCTGTCGTGTCTGACTCTTAGCAACCCCATGGACCGCAGCCTACCAGGCTCCTCCATCCATGGGATTTTCCAGGCAAGAGTACTGGAGTGGGGTGCCATTGCCTTCATTAGACACTGGCAAATAGCTGAAGGTGCAATCAAGCAAATTTATATTGAGATATCTCTCAAGTTTCCCGTAAGTTAATTTGGACACAGGTGGCTTTCTAACAAGAAATTCAGAATTGTTCCATTTTGACAGTCAACCGTCCTGTTGCTTATTTTATACTGTTGTCCATACAGGCTCCTCTTCTCCCTTTGTGTTTATACTGGAGTGCACCTGAGCTAAACTGGAACGGAGCCCTGGGTGGGAATCTGGGATGCTTTAGACCCACCCTTAGAGGTCAAGACCTGAGAATACTAGATGGGCCCTTCAGTAAGACTTCACTCATTTCATCCTCCAGGGCACTGTGCCATACATTTGGCATATGTCATGTAATCCTTACACCAGTCTCCTGAGGTAGGAATTGTTAACATTGTTATAAATGAGGAAATAGAGTCTTGGTTGAAGGGTCTTGCATAAACACACACATCTAGCCAGCACTGCAACAAAAATCCTCTCTCTTGTGCGTCTGGCTGAAGCCCCTTCTTTCCTGCACATTTTCCTCCCCCAGGTTGTCACTCCAGGCCTCATGGTAAGCCTGGTACAGTTGTTATTATGATTTTAAGTTTAGCATTTTTTATTTGTTGTTATAGGATGCTTAAGAGGTTTATAGTTCCATAATGGTGATTTGCTATAATACTTCTAACCTGTATATTGTTTTTTAGTCACTAAGTCGTGTCTGACTCTGTGACCCCATAGACTGTAGCCCACCTGACTTCTCTGTCCATGTGATTTCCCAGGCAAGAATACTGGGGCAGGTTGTCATTTTCTTCTCCAGGGGGATCTTCCCAACCCAGGGATTGAACCTGCAGGTGTCCTGCATTGGCAGGAGGATTCTTTACCACACAGCTACCTGGGAAGCCATCTAATTTATATAATTGGGAATAAGTGTAAACACTGCAAGCTCTAATCAGCCCCAAATAGCATGTTATTTCATGACAAATAAATAATATGTTGAATGAAAACAGAAGCCATAGGACAGAGTATGGAAAGCCGTGGTAAATGGAATTTCTTGTTCTTCACTAAAGAAAATAGGCTGACATGGAGAGTCAGTTCAAACAGAAACTAAAGATCAAACAACAGAGCATTTTAACTTATGCTTTTTACAGCTGGATTCCAAGGAAGATAAATTATATTTGAACTTATCTTTTCAAATATCTTGCTAATAAAGTCAGTCAATTTATTGAGTGTCAGACAAGAAATTTAAAACACGTATTACATGTATGTATGACTTAGGACATGTAATCGTACATGTATGTAAAATTAATATGCTAAGGGCACTAATGGATAAAATAGCATGCAAGAACAGATAGACAATGTAAGCAGAGAGATGGAAATTCTGAAAGAGAACTCAAAAGAAATTCTAGAAATGAAAAAAACACGGAAATGAAGAATGCCTTTGATGGGCTTATTAGTAGACTGGACACAGCTGAGAAAAGAATCTTTGAGCTTGAGGCTATTTCAATAGAAATCTCCAAAACTGAAAAGCAAAGAGAACAAAAACTGAAGGAAAAAACCCAGAACAGGATATCCGAGGTCTCTGGACAGCTACAAAAGGTATAACTGAGTAACACAAATGCCAGAAGGAGAAGAGAAAAAGGAACAGAAAAAATATCTGAAACAATAACTGAGAATTTCCCCCACATGCCAGATATCAAGTCGCAGATCCAGGAAGCTCAGAGAACACCAAGCAAGATAAATATCTCAGAAAAACTACACCTAAGCATATATTTTCAAATTATTGAAAAGCAAAGGTAAAGAAAAAATACTAAAAGAAACAGAAGAAAAACGCCTTACCTAAGGAGGATCAGAGACAAGAACCAATCTCACCTCTTCACAGAAACCATGCAAGCAAGAAGAGAGTGGAGTTAAATATTCAAAGTTTTGAGAGGAAAAAACTACCAACCTAGAATTTTGTACTCTGAAGAATTATCCTTCAGAAATAACTGAGAAATAGACTTTCTTAGACAAACAAAACTGAGGGAATGTGTTGCCTGCAGACCTGCCTTGGAAGAAAAGTTAAAAGTTCTTTGAAAAGAAGAAAATTGACATAGATCAGAAACTCAGCTCTACATAAAAAAAGAGATAGCATCAAAGAAGGAATACTGAAAGTAAAATAAAAACTTTTTATTTTTCTTAAATGATCTAATGGCTTGTTCAAAATAATAATAGCAACAATATTTGATTATGAATGCTTATGTATCATATATATATACATCTTATATATATGTATATACATACATACACATATACCTACGTGTGTGTGTGTATATGTATGTAATATGCTTATATAATAAGTGAAATGAGTGACATCAGTGATACAAGGGACAGGGAGGAATTAGGATTATTTCCTTATTATTAAACATTCACATGACCCAAGAAATTGTATAGTGTTATTTGAAAATGAGCTTGTATTAGTTGTAAGTGTGTATTCTAACTCTAGTGCAACCACTAAAAAAAAAGAAAGAAAAGTATAACTGATATCCCAAGAAAGGAGAGAAAATGGAATCATATAAAATGCTCAGCTGAAATTGCAAAAGGCAGAAAAAGTGGAAGACAAATAACCTCAAGGAACATGGGCAACAAATTGAGAACAATATCAAATAAAGTAGATATTAATCTACCCATATAAATAATCCCTTTGAATGTCAATAGTCTACATGCACTATATTAAAAGACAAAGATTGCCAAAGTAGATAAAAGACAAGAAATAAACAAGTGGTTGTCTACAAGAAACAGACTAAGTATAAAGACACATGTACATTAAAAATACATGAACAGAGAAAAATATACCATTCCAACACTAATCAAAAGAAAGGAGTGGCTCTATTAATTTTAATCAGAGCAGATTTCAAAGCAAGAAAGGTATCAGGGATAAAGAAGGACACAATATAATGAAGAAGGGGTCACTACTCCAAGAAGACCTAACAATCCTAACAGCATCAAACTCTATGAAAAGGACTTGTTAAGCAGAAATCAGGGAAAAGGTGTTAAGGGGTGTGTATCTCAGATTCTGGAAGAGTTTGGAATGCCCTCTCTACCATTCTTTCAACACTCCTGGATAAATACCAATGTGATTATTCTTTAACCCCCTTTTCTAGGCTCAATACAGGGCTATTCGTGTCTACCCATTTAATTCTCTTCAAATAACATGGCCTTATTATAATCTAGTTTGTCTTTATATAATTCCGTTTTCCAGTAAATTTTGAGTTATCTAACATTAATGTAGCAAACCATGAAATCCTCAACAATGCATATGCAAAACCTACCTCAGGTCACATCTGCAAGTGGTTAATCTCAGGTGTATTATGATGGTTCTAGTAGCATTCCTCAGTCCCTGACTTCTTCTGACTATGTCCCCAGATTCTGGAGGTGCTCTCTATACTGCCCACAAAGATAGCAAATGTGTGTTAGAATCTGAAAGTGCTAGAAGACTCTGGAGGGAAAGAGGAACTGAATTTATATTGGCCTGAAACAAATTTGGTCATACAGAAGCTGTCTCACATGGTTCTTTTATGTCTGATGCAGCTCAAGTATACAGATAGCTGATCCCCTGGAGTTTGTGGTAACAGAGCTCCTCATAGCTTGACTGGTTTAAACAGCAGTCATTTATTTCTTATAGTTCTTGAGGCTAAGAAGTCCAAGATCAAGGTGCCAGCAGATTCTATTTCTAGTGAGAGCTCTCCTCCTGGCTGGCAGACAGTGGGCTTCTTCTTGGAGAGAGAGGGTGAGTCTCTTCCATTCTTAGTCTCTTCCCATTCTTAAAAAGGCACTAAACCCATCACAGGGGCCCCTCCCTTATGACCTCATCTAAACCTAATTATGTCCCTAAAGCTGCTCCTCCACAACTACCATCATATTAGTAAGATTCCAAACTATGAATTTGGGGAGGACACATACATTCAGTCCATAGCAAATACCACTGGGTTCTTTTGTACCAGATTAAGTGGGGAAATGGTAGACGGGTTTTGGGACACATACAACTGTTTTGGTACAGAGCCCAAATGAATTCTAGGACAGAGAGGTTTGTTTCTAACCAGCTTCTTAAATGAGCTTTAAGTAAAGGGTGAAGGAAATTAATGTACCTAGAGATGCTGTATCATGATTTTGCTAAAGATTGTCCAGGGTCTTTTAAGGCCACAATTAGAGACAAGACTAGCCCTTTCCATTCCTCCTCTGCTCTTCTGGACGCCAAAGCACTGCCTTTCTCCAAAAAGAAAAATTAAAAACACAAATTCTCAAGTGGTTTGATAGTAATTCAGACCAACAAATTTTACTTTCCATTAAAAGTCACCAGCTGTCATGTGCTTAGCTTTAAATGGGAATAACTTACTCTCAAAGAACATTTTTCAGTTGATGTCACTTGGGAGTTTTATTTTCTCCTAATGAAAAATTGATTTGCATTAGTGTGGCTTTGGTGACAGGAAACCCCTGCTTGGAGGCCTGACTTGGTGATCCACCCAGTGCCCTAAGGAAAGCTAATTGTTCTACCAGCCAACTCAGAGGACTAACTCTGTGGTCAGGAGGGGCCTTTGAGGGGACAGAGGAGAGGAGTGGTGATAATGTTCCAGCTTCTTGCAGGGAGGGTCTCATGGGGCTTCTTCCCTTAAAAAACAAACAAAAAAAGGCATTAAAAAGATGCTTTTAGAACAGGGTGTTGGGAGCAAGGGCTTTCCTGATAGCTCAGTTGGTAAAGAATCCGCCTGCAATGCAAGAGACCCCAGTTTGTTTCCTGGGTTGGGAAGATCCACTGGAGAAGGGACAGGCTACCTACTCCAGTATGCTTGGGCTTCCCTTGTGGATCAGTTAGTAAAGAATCAGCCTGCAAAGCGGGAGACCTGGGTTCAATCCCTGGATTGGGAAGATCTCCTGGAGAAGGGAAAAGCTACCCACTCCAGTATTCTGGCCTCGAGAATTCAAAAGCAGGGGACTGAGCATGCTCCCTGCACTCAACACCACCAAAGCAGTGGGCAAAACACCTAAGCCACCCCACCCCACCCCTGGACACACCCCTGTCCTCACCCCATATAAGGAACAGGCTCGCCCCACCTCCAGTGAGCAAGTCAGCAAGGGAACCTGTTGTTTGTTCTCACTCTCCACTGCTGCAGCAGGGACCCCAATAATGCATTGCCTAGGGGGGAAATAAGTGCTTTTAGGTATTGAGGATTGGAGAGAGGAGTGACTCATTTTAACATGATTACCAGTCTGAGTGAGGCAGCCCTTCTGATAGCCGTGTGCTCAGAGACAGGGACCAGATCTCTGCCACAGCTCTTAGAGAAGTGTCACTGTGGACCCGCCACTCTGTGCAAGGGCCTAGACATCTCTTGTCTGTTGGCCACTGCAAGAACCTCATCACAAGTCTCAAGAACAAAACAAATCAAGTCAAAGAGTCTCTGCACCGAAGCTCCTGGAGCCTGAACCCTGTCAGGTGCAGCCACCACTCTGGCCACTCAGGAGCCGCCCGCTGCGGGGCCCTGTGACGACCATCTCCTCGGCAGGCAGGAGGGTGACACCGAGGACCCTGGCTCTGCTTACGGGCAGTCTCTGCTAGAGTCATCCCAACAAGGCCCCAACCCACCGAGAATGACCTGAGGGGACCAGAGAGTCATGAACCAGTCAGGGCAGCTGGTTAGACCGATGAAACTAGGAAACAGCAACAGGGAGACACAACACTGGCAGAGCCGCCCGCACACCTGAGGGCTGGAGGCGCTCCTGACCTGGGTCCTCAGAAGGGCTCGGCGGGCTCCCTCGCCTCGCCAGCCCCTGGCGTGCACACCCACACACACGAGCATCACACACAGCAGCTGTGGGCAAGCTCCCTGTGGAAACAGCAACATCTGAACCTGGGGCCATGACAAGGGCCCACCCAGAGGAGGAAAAGCTCTCCTCACCCGTCCGCCTGCTCTCAGTGCTCACAGCGAGGACTCAGGGAGTGTCCGAGGATTCCTGAATGCTGCTCTTGACAGACACCAAAGCGCTCTCCTCCTCCTCCTGCGAGTGTGGCGCTCCGGGGCTGCCCCCAGGGAAGACGCCTCTGGCAGCACCTGGCCCTCCGAGCCACTGGGGCCAGCTCCAGGAACACTGAATTCTGGCCACACTTGCAGCCAAGCCTGGTTACTTTAGATTCCCTCTCCTCCCCGCTTGTCTTTTCAAGCTGGAGCCAGCCAAGATATTCGTCATATTTCCAAGCTACCCTGCTGTTTGATTTATGCTCTGACAGGGCAGAAGGGAAGACTCCAGAGTGGGGTGGGGCGGGGGTGGTGAAGGCAGGGTCTGGGGTGGCAGGGGGTTGAGGGGTACTGAAGGGTCCTGCCACCCTAGGTAGGGGTCACTGAGGGTGTTGCCAGTTGTAGGATCGACTCTGTTCACTTCAGTTAGTGCTGAGGAGCACACGGGCTCTGTCTCAGGGGAACAGAGATGATATTCCCTCTCTCTCCCTCTCTCTCATGTTGAGATACGGCCATAAAAGGAGTGAAGCTTCATTTGCCCTCTCACTGGGCTTCACCTAAAAGGGCTTTCAGAAAAATTTCCAGCCTTCTCCTGTGGGACATTGGATGCGGTCTCGTTGGCCAAAGAGAAAACGAGTAACAGATGAAGCTCATACGGATGAAGAGGCCAAAACCGAAATGTTAATCACCTCAAAATATGCACTGCTCCCTCCAAAACCACTCTTGGCTCGCCTCAGAGGATCTCTGATTGGAGACTTTTCCCCCATGGGGTGGGGGGTCTGCTGCTGATATTCGGGGTCACATTTGAGGGTCCAAGCTGCAAGAAGATAAAGAATTGTCATTCAGGGCACTTAACGCGCCGGTTGTGGTGATTTGAAATGGCTGGAGTATTGACTGGCCCCTCTTGGTTAAACGAATCCCACTAGGACGCTCCCATAAAAGCTCAAGATGCTGTCATCCAAGATGAATAAAAATGCCTCTTTTGATTCCACTGCATATGAAAACATGAGATCATTGGAATATATTTAGAGTGAGATTTGGCAGTGTGTTCATGTTTACAATTCTTGGACTCGAAACTCTAATGTGAACCGGAGGCTCTCTTTTCCCCTCTTCACCTTCTTTTCTTTCTCTAAGAGGGTGAAGTCCTGTTCCAAGAGTTCAGAATCCCTTTCCTTATTACATTCTGAAGTTAACGTTGCTCTGTGATTGACGACATCCTCACTGCCACTGACCAGCTTGAGAGGCCCCATCTTGAGGTGTTAATGTATTAATCAGACCACTGAAGTGGCTCCACCCCAGGGCGAAGCATCCATTGGGTTTGAGCAGAATATCTAAAATTACAGGCTTTTCCTCAGTGGTCTGGTTGCATGAGGGAGGAGTCTACGATACCTTGTGGCCACAGACTCCTGTTAGCACATAGCTTTGGGGTTCTTTATGGAGCCTTTAGGAGCAGCATGGAGTCAATAAGAAGCCGCCTGTGCTCCGCTGTCTTGTACCATCTCATCTTCAAGGGCTCTCGTTCTCAATACTGGCTACTCGTTAGAATCATCAGGAAGCCTTAAAAAGCACTGAGGCCTACTCCCCAACCCACAGCGACTCTGATTGTATTGATCCAGGGTACAGCTGGGCATCAAAAGTTTTAAAAACAGTATTATACTCTATTTCAAATTTTAAAAAATAATCATGTATCACAGTGGTAAAGAATCTACCTGCCAATATAGGAGACACAAGAGACGCAGGTTCAGTCCCTGAGCCGGAAAGATTTCCTAGAGTCGGAAATGGCAACCCACTACAGTATTCTTGCCTGGAGAATCCCATGGACAGAGGAACCTGTCAGGCTACAGTCCATGGGGTTGCAAAGAGTCAGACAGGACTAAATGACTAAACAATAACAATAAAAAATCAGGAAAAAATGGAAGAATATTCGCCAATATGTTGACTATCTCCGAGTGGTAGAATCGAGAGGAAATTTTATTCATTTATATACTTTTCTATATGACCTGAATTTTTATTGCAACAAAGCAAAATGCAATGAAAGTATTGGTGTAAGGAAAGGAAAAGCTATTTCTCATTTAAAAGGAAAGAAGTTCAAGATACTCAGAACTCATCATCTTCCACCGCAACCTGATTCCCTCCTGCATCCCCAGTTCTGAAAGTGGCACTGGATCTGCACCGCTGCCCTTACTCAGTGGTCCTCCCTGCCTCCTATCTTCCCCAAATCCACTCACTTTATCTTCATTCAGCAACCCTAATACCTCTGACATTTCTCTGGCTCTGACCACACAGACCGCTTCCACGGTGATGGCACCGGCTCCTCAGCAGGCTCTCTGTCCTGGAGGCTGCAGTGTGGCAGTCCTCCAGGGCACGCTGCATCACACTTGTCCTATACCCCACACCTGGTCCTGGCACTCACCTGCTTCAAGCCTTCAATGACATCCTCTATTTCCAGAGCACGCTGCAGTTCCTTGCATGGCTTACCAGGCCCTCCGTGACCTGACACCTGACCTGCCCACTCTCAGAGCCCCTGGCCCTACACCCTTCCCCCCAACCACGTGCACTGTTTGCAGACCTCCAAACATCACCTGTTCTTGTACTTTCCTGTGCTTGGAAGGCCCTTCCCTCCCACACTAACCATTTTCCCCTAGTAAACTCCTATCCCTCAACATTCTGCTGGGGCCGCCTTCTCCAAGGAGTCTTTGCTTTACCGGATCTCAACATCCAGTCTCTTTCACATCTGCCTATACCTGTGTCTTTGTCTAGTGTTGGTTATTTGTGTGTGTCCATCTGTCCATCTCCCACACTGCTCTCTGACCTCCTTGAGGATTAGGACCTCTCACCTTTGTGCCCCAGCACCACTCACATTGCCTGACAGGTCCCAGGTGTGCAATGTATGTGGTAAGGAGTGGATGGACAATATCGATCCCTTACATTTATACAGCTCTCTGATTTTTCAAAGCATTTCTGTATCTGTTCAGGGGTGGATGTTATGCCCTCAAATTGTCTTCAGAAATACCACCTGCATCCTCTGCATTCTAATTTATCCTCCAGGCAAGTTTGAAAGAGAGGAACCATTTATTCTTCCTCCTTTTTCTGGTAGTGAAAGTGAGGTACATGATAATGGGGGGGCTGGTGAGGGAGCTGCTGCCCGAGGCCATATGGCTGGGATGTTGAAGACCCAGGAGACAGACTCTCTGCCTGGATTCTTCATCCTCACTGCCTTATTTCTTCAGCACGTTGGCTCCACTGGCCTGGTTCCTGAGTCTGCCCTGGGCAATTGCCCACAGAGAAATGGAGATTGTCAGTCATTAAAAAAAATCCTGCCTCCTCCATTTTCCAGTCATGCTTTCAGAAAGGAAGGGAGGGGAAACCAAGAGATGCAAAGTGGAAACTGAAGCTCTGTTGAGTTTAAGATGAGCTACTCAAGGATCTGCAGTCTACTACTATCCACCTTCTCTGGAGAGAAAGCAGACTCAGTATGTGCGGATTTCTCCTCTAGGGAGGAAATACACATTCACTAATCCCTTCCACTTTAACCAGGCCTGGGCTGCCAGGCGCTCCTTTCCAGAGGGTCGTCAGTCGAAGAAAGAGCAGAGCAACTTGTCTTCTGACTCAGTGGCCTTCAGATCATGTCCTAAGACTGAACACAGTGACCAAAACCATGACTCATGGCTTTGCCCAACAAGCCAGGTTTGGGAGAATAAAGCCAGGTTTGGGAATATTAGGAGGGCCTTGTCTCTGGCACACTTGGAGTCATCCTCACTTGATCTTTGCATTAAGTCTGATCCAGAGAATGCTTCTGGACCCCTGTCTACTCAAGCAGGCATTGGAGGAGGTCATCAGGAAGATGTGGAAATCGAAGACTCCTCGCCCCTCCCCTGGTCCCTGCACTAGGAGCTGCCCAAGGACACAGCCTTGAAATAGTGAGCTGTTGTTGAGACCATCTGGACAGTATATGTGACTGAACCCAGCTAAGCCCTCTGTATCAACTTTTAAGATTCTGGCAGGGAGTGTGCAAAGATCTACTCTTCTTGCAGCTGCCCAAGACAAGCCTTATATGTCAGTCCCCTCATTTATCAAATCTGCCACCTACCAATTTAATCTGCAATGGCTCGCCTCTTTCCTAGTATTTCCCTGCCCTCTCAGTACTGGGGGTCTGTTTCTGATAACATTCAGGGAAGCACCCAAGGTTTTGAATTAACAGCAGGGCCAAAGGTGCATCTTCACCAGGCCCTTCCCAGGAGAGTGCAGAGGTGGGGGTGGGGAGGTTGTGAAGGTCAGGAGTGGGAGGGTGGGGCCAGGAGGAGTACTGCCCCCATCTCAGATTCTCCTATAAGCTATAGGATGAAGCCCTGGTATAGGCACGTCCCTCCAAGAAGAAGGAAGTCACATAGTGGAGGTTCACCAACTCTTAACAGGCACCTATAGGGTGCTAGCGGAGAAGGCAATGGCACCCTACTCCAGTACTCTTGCCTGGAAAATCCCATGGACGGAGGAGCCTGGTGGGCTGCAGTCCATGGGGTCGCATAGAGTTGGACACGACTGAGCGACTTCACTTTCACTTTTCACTTTCATGCACTGGAGAAGGAAATGGCAACCCACTCCAGTGTTCTTGCCTGGAGAATCCCAGGGATGGGGTCGCACAGAGTCGGACACGACTGAAGTGACTTAGCAATAGCATAAGGTGCTAGATACTATGCCAGAAGCCAGTTGAAAGTGAAAGTGAAAGTCGCTCAGCAGTGTCCACAACTCTTTGCGGCCCCATGGACTATACAGTCAATGGAATTCTCCAGGTCAGAATACTGGAGTGGGTAGCCTTTCCCTTCTCCAGGGGTGCTAGTTAGGTAGGGATAAATTAGACATGGCTCCACACCAGAAAAAAAAAGACATGTACACACACAGGCAAATAACCATGATGCCTGGAAAACAGTGACAAGAGATGCAAATAAGGTGCTATGTGAGTTTAAGAAAGATGATTTCCAGATGGGAATTCAGCAAAGACTTCCTGGGGGAGATAGCATTATTTAAGCTGAAACTTGAAGTGAGAGTAAAATTTGGACAAGAAATATTGTTGACTGAGGATAGAGAGAGATGGAGTAGCAAAGATAATAAAGGCTTTTCAAGTTGCAATGTCTATGACTGGGTTAAATCACATGAAATTGCTGATATTTTACTGTTTTACTTATAATAACATTGATTTCAGATGGCTCAACATAATACTTCCCAGGTGAGTAGAGACAGGAAAACACAGGTTGTAGAGAGGAAACAAGGCAGAAGTTCAGCATCTGTCAGTAGCTGGTAAACATGCACTTAGTTTCACCTTTTGCTAATGTGTTGATAGAAATAGCCTTGGGATGGCTTTTTTTTTTTACTTTCTCCAAAGGAGACTGATACTGCAAGGTTTGTCTATTGTCCAAAGACTTGAACTTTAGAATCAGACTGAACTAATGAGTTCCTGGAAAGCAGTGTTGCATCCCCAAGTCTGAAAGATTTGAGTTTAAATCCTGGCTCTGCAACTTGTGAGCTATGCTGCCAGGCTCATAACTTTCTGACTCATACTTTTCTCACCTGAAAAATGGTGATAATAATAGTATAGTAGTAACAGTATAGCATTGTAGTAAAAGTAATAGCATTTCCCATAACATCTTATAGGAAAATCCAAATGAACTTTTTGGCCAACCCAATACTTCCCTTCTAGGACTTCCCAGGTTATCCAGTGGCTAAGACTCCTCAATCCCAATGCTGGCAGCCCAGATTTGATCCCTGGTCAAGGAACTAGATCCCACATGCCACAACTAAGACCTAGTGCAACCAAATAAATAAATTGAAAAAAAAAAGAAAAAGACTTCTCTTCCTAATAAGATCATGGAGTTGAAGACACGAGTTGGTGCCTGCATGGCTTAGCATAATAGCTGGCCCTCAGAAAGTGCCCAGCAGCTGTTTGTAACCTATGTCAAGAGGCACCAAGAAGGACACTGTGTCCACAAACCATAGAGGGAATTCCATCCTCGTTCCCTTGGCTTGTTTCAGTGGAGACCGCAAGACAGAGACCTATTTTAGTGCCCACTTGAGTCACAGGAGAAGAGGAAGGGAGACACAAGGAAACATACAATACTTGAGTTTCTCAGGCCAAAATAACAAGAGCTTGACGCGATCCTATAAAGTCATTCAGTTGCTTTCAGCCCTCAAACAAACCTGCTAAGGAATTTCATGTTCCCAGGTCTCCCCTGGCAGGCACCCCTGGCACAGAGAT